ATGTGATTACTATGAATTATATATCTGTGTCAAAATATCTCAGGTACCTCATAAATGTATATACCTACTATGTACCCACAAAAATTAAAAATTTTATTTAAAAAGAAAAGAAAAAATTGGTTCCTGGGTCTCACTCAAGATCCCCAAATCAAAATCTCCATGGCCACGGCTCTGGAATCTATAGTCTAAAAATCCGTATTTAGTCAGCTAGGCAGTGAACTGTAGGTGGGTCTCGAGAACCTCTGCTCTAAGTAAAGAAAACTTTTCCTAATATAATGTAGGATTGACTTCTTCAACAAATGTTCACCTACCATGAGCCAGACCCTGGTGCAGGTGCTAGGAGACTGTAGGGAAGAGATGTCCAGACCCTGATCTCATGCAGTTGATATTTTTGTGGTTTATTTCGTATATAAGAAAAGGGAAGAAAATGCTCTCTTTTTTATCCATCCTATTTCACAAGTGTCCAGAAAACTCATTGGTACCATACTTGAGAGAGGAAAGATTAGATGAGGACAGGGACAGTCCTGTAGGATTAGTGGCTCATGCCTGTAATCCTAGCACTCTGGGAGGCCAAGGTGGGTGGATCACCTGAGGTCAGGAGTTCGAGATTAGCCTGGCCAACATGCTGAAACCCCGTTCTTATCAAAAATACAAAAAATTAGCTGGGTGTGGTGGGGCTGAGGAAGCTTTAGCAGCTACTCGGGAGGCTGAGGCAGAAAAGTCACTTGAGCCCGGGAGGTGAAGGTTGTAGTGAGGCAAGATTGCACCACTGCACTCCAGCCTGGGAGACAGAGCAAGACTCCGTCTCAAAAAAAAGAAGGCTACATAAGATGCCAAAAGATCTAGTTTTCTAAGCTTGCCTTTGCCACCTGCATGCTGTCTTCTTGGACAAGTCACTTCACTATTCTGAGCCTTAGTTTCCTCAACAAAATACTGAGATAATATTTTTCCTGTGTATTTCTAAGGGTGTATGAACATTAGATGAGATAATGCGAAAATGCTTTGAAAAATTATACAAAGTCAGTCACTGTGTTTCTATAGATCCTATAGTTTCTGCAGGTTTTAGAGAATATTTTGATTGTGAGTTCCCAACAGTCATATTAACAAAATAGTGTTCTATAGTTAACAATGTCCTTTTATGATTGAACTTTACCTCTCCACCACCTTGTCTTACTTAAGTACATTATAAACATTGTATAACCTTGAATTTTTATAATACACTGGCATATCATTTAGTAATCTCTTGTATTGCTCTTTAATTGCTTTTCCTGTTGGTCTTGTTTTCCTAACCTCTGTAAAATCATCCCGTGTGGGCCCGTTTTTGCACTTGCCATGTGTTCTCCAAGGTACCAGGCATAACATGGGCAGTTGGTGCTCAAAAATACTTTGATGTTGATGGAGTGATTGAATAGATAAGGTTTATTTGTATGATAACTGAGAGTGTATGCCCTGTTTGTTATCATCAGCCAAATGAGGAGAGTGTAGTTAATGCCTACCAATTTTTTTCTTCTTTCCCTCCTTCTCACTTTTTGTGGAATCTGAGAGAGACTGCTGACAGGATGTGGGTGGGAATGGATGGATCTGACAGGGACTGGAGTTTCAAGGCTGCATTTATGTATTTTGCTAAAGGACTCTCAGTTCTGCTAAAGGATTGAGTAGTGTGCAATGGAAAGTGTATTGGAATGTGTGAATTGTATGGAACACTTTTAAAGTGGAATGTATGACAGACAAAGCTCTTGGGATTGTAAGAATTCAATATAATGAAGTTAGGTAATGCTTAGACCAAAATATTAATACAATTCTTCTCTATATAACATCTTTTCTCTAAATTTTCCTTGTCGTAAGTCTTAATTGATTAGATCTCATAATCTATTTGTGAAGAGTAAGTAGAACAGCACCTATAACTTTTTAGTGAATGGGTAAACTAAGACATAGCCAAGTAAAATGACTTAATCCTTGGAATTTATCAAACACAACTATTAAAAATTGAATCCATTGTATCTAACTTAAAATACTTGGAGACTTTATATATATACACACATATACATGTGTATGTGTGTGTATATATATACATATATATATATATATACACTGTTTTTTGTTACTGAACTTTGCTCTTGTTGCCCATGCTGGAGTCCAATGGTACAACCTCAGCTCACTGCAACCTCCACCACCCGGGTTCAAGCAAATCTCCTGCCTCAGCCCCCTAAGTAGCTGGGATTACAGGTGCCCACCATCACGCCTGGTTAATCTTTTGTATTTTTGGTAGAGACTGGGTTTCACCATGTTGGCCAGGCTGTTCTCAAACTCCTGACCTTGGGTGATCCAACTGCCTCAGCCACCCAAAGTGCTGGGATTATAGGCATGAGCCACCATGCCCAGCTGTATATATATGGATTTTAAGAGACAGGGTCTCATTCTGTTGCACAGCCTTGAACTCCTGGCCAAAAGCCATCCTTCTGCCATGGTCTACCAAAGTGTTGGGATTATAGGCATGAACCACCATGCCCAGCCTACTTGGAGACTTTAATTTCTAAAACTAGCTACTTATATGGAAAAAAGTTATAGTAATGAGTTTTAAGTAAAATAGCATTCATCATTTCATTTACTTTACATAGGGTAATTGTTCTGAATTTTCCAGTAAAGAACACAATGTAGGTAATTTTTGCAGTCAGGCAAATTTAGTGAGAAAAGATAAATATTTGTGCCTTCTATTTGGTTAAAATCCATCTTACTGAATGTGTGTGAACATGACCTTGAGTCTGCCAGGAAAAATAATATTCATTATGATTTTGATTATTTGAATGTTTACCTTTTCCTTTTTACACTTTATATCTGGGAGTTTTAAAGATTAAGATTTACTTTCTATAAGGAAGGCTTATGTTTGAATCGGGGCAAGATGAGTTCCCAGCAGAAGGAATAGAGAATTAAAATATTTGTCTTGACCCAAACTTCTTTTCTTTACTATACTTGGGGTTAGGAGTTTTTCTTGTGGTTAACAGGCCTCTCTCACATTCCCAAACACTAAAGAAGAGAGGCAGGTTAGGCCTCCCCTCCCTCTCCCCTGGCCTGTCAGGACTCCTCGAGACCAAACCCTTTGGACTGTTACTATGTGGAAAAAGAGAACTTCCATAAAGGGTCAGACACTCCTCACAGCCCATCGGAAGGCACTTCCAGATTTAGGCCTTCCCAACAATGGTGCTCTTTAGGGAGGCTCACTTCACTTTGTTTTTCTTTTTTAAATTTTTGAGACAGGGTCTCGCTCTGTCACCCAGGCTGGAGTGCAGTGGCATAATCTTGGCTTACTGCAACCTCCGTCGCCCAGGCTCAAGCAATCCTCCTGCGTAAGCCTCCTGAGTAGCTGGAACCACAGGTGTGCACAACTATGCCCAACTGATTTTTGTATTTTTAGAAGAGATAAGATTTTGCTATGTTGTCCAGGTGGATCTTGAACTCCTGGTCTCAAGCGATCCACCCGTCTTGGTCTCCCAAAGTGTGAGATTAAAGGCATGAGTCACCATGCCCAGTCCTTACTTGTTTATTGATTTATTTTTTTGAGACAGAGTCTCACACTTTCACCGAGTCTAGAGTGCACTGGCACAATCTTGGCTCATTGCAACCTCTGCCTCCCAGGTTTAAGCAGTTCTCCTGCCTCAGCCTCCTGAGTAGCTGGGACTACAGGTGTGTGCCACCACACCTGGCTAATTTTTGTACTTTTAGTAGAGATGGGGTTTCACCTTGTTGTCCAGGTTGGTTCTGAACTCCTGATCTCAGGTGATCCACCTGCCTCCCTTACTTAACTTCTTACTTGTCTCTCTCTCCTATTATTCTGCTTTCCACTTAAATTCTCAGAAAAGAGCCACCTCTGCCTTCAGGAAAGAGCCACTGTTTCCCCACAAGGTTAGTCTAGAGTCCCTTTCATGGACTTAGCAAATCTGAGCAATACTTCAGACCTGAGCTTTGTCATATTCTGCCTCATAAATAAGAATGTAGGCTGAGTGCGGTGGCTCACGAGTGTAATCCCAGAATTTTGGGAGGCCGAGGCAGGTGGATCACTTGAAACCAGGAGTTCAAGACCAGCCTGGGCAACATGGTAAAACCCTGTCTTTACTAAAAAAAAAAAAAGAAAAAGAAAAATTAACTGAGCATGTGTTATGCACTTGCGGTCCCAGAGAATCAGGAGGCTTAGGTGGGAGGATGGCTTGAGCTTGGCAAGTTGAGGCTACAGCGAGCTGAGATCGTGCCACTGCACTCCATCCTGGGTGACTGAGTGAGACCCTGTCTCAAAAGAACAAAACAAAACAAAATATATATATACATACACACACACACATATATGTATATATATGGAAGTAGGGACTCTAATTCCATTTTTTTCTCCCAGTTTAGTTTCAAACTCTTTTCCTCAGAGACAACCATTAATGTCTGGAAAGGCTATTTTTTCTTGTTACCATGATATGATATTCTGAACTTGCCTTTTAGGAACAGACTACCTGCTCCCCTATTATGGCATTGAGGAAGGTGGCACTTTCCTATCTGGGGCCTGATATGAGTTGGCTGTGGTTTTTCTCCTTGATTCCAGAAAGGAATGGCTTCAACTCTGATTGAATTCATTTGAGCAGCTAATTATGTTCTTCTGATTCTAGGCCTCTCTTTGACAGATGAGCGGGTGGAGTTTGGTAATACATCCCATTCCTTCTAAGAAAATGGTTTCTAAATTGAAAAGTGCTATAAAAGATAACAATTATTTTTATTATTATTATTTTAATCTGGTGAACCTTTCAAATTAATACACTCTTTGTCTACCAAGGTGTGGAATAGAATGGAAGTGACAGAAAATCTTGAAAATAGTGTTAGATGAATCGTTAGATGGAGGTCAGGAAAACCTCTGTCAGAGAGCCAAACAGCATCTATTAAATGCACACAATGTCTAGAGATTTGTGTACTGGAGTTAGCAGAAAAATTCATTCATTCACAATGTTTTTTTTTTTTTCCTATAGCCCAGGCTGGAATACAGTGGCGAAATCTCTGCTCACTGCAACTCTGCCTCTGGGGTTCAAGTGATTCTCCTGCCAATAGTTGGGATTACAGGCACCGCAACCATGGCCAACTAATTTTTGTATTTTAGTAGAGACCAGGTTTCACCATGTTGACAAGGCTGGTCTCGAACTCCTGGCCTCAGATGATCCACCCACCTCAGCCTCCCAAAGTGCTTGAATTACAGGCATGAGCCATTGTGCCCGGCCATTCACAATGTTTTATTGAGTGATACTACCTGTGTTTGGAAACAGTGAATAGTGAGATGTTTAGATCAAATATAGGCCATTGGTTTAACATACATACTTTAGCATAAAGGACCATTTCATAAATTACTTGCTTTGGTATCTTTCTTTTATGCTTTAATGTGCTTACAATGATAACAGTGGATGTAGAACCTGTGGATATGGAGAGCTAACTGCAAGACTTGAGTATCTGCAGATTCTGTTATCCTATAGAATCCTGGAATCAATTCCCCATGGATACCAAGGGACAGCAGTACTGTGAAAACTACTTTATACACATAAACTCACATTCTCATTTTAATCCTCACAATATCCTTTGATGTACTCTTATTACTGACACTTTGCAGATGGGAAGCAGAGGCTTGGAGAGGTTATGGAGCTTGCCCAAGGTTGCACAGTTGTAGGGCTTGGAATCGAATGAAGACAATCTGACTTCAGACCTCTACTCGTCTTTTAACATGGTAAAAATAACACCCATGTGGAAAAATGCATAAACAATAAATGCATACTCTAACGAGTTATCACAAAGCCCACAACAGTGTAATTACCACCCATACCAAGGAATAGAAAATTTGTAGAATTCCAACCCAGTTGCCTCCTTGCAATCTCAAATCCCTCCTCATAGGGCTCCTTCTGTCTCAGAGGTAGCCTCTAACCTCTCTTTTACAATGATCAATTCCTTACTTTTCTTTGTAGTTTTAATACCTAAGTATACATTTTTTTCCTGTTTCTGAACCTTACAAAAATGAAATAACACAGTATATATTATTTTGTGAGTAGTTTCCTTTTCTTAGTATTATGTTTTTAGGATTCGTCTATATTGTCAAATGTAGCTTGTTCCTTTTTCCAAGCTGCTGTATTAGTTTACTTTCCTTATGACAAAGTATGAGAATTACCATTGCTCTACTCTTGGTCAACATTTGTAATTGTCAATCTTGTTTTGTTTTAGCCATTCTGGAGGGTGGTATGTTACTCTCTCAATGTGATTTAAATTTTCTTGTCTTCATATAAGGTGGACAGTTTTTCATATGCTTATTGTTTATTTGGATTTCTTCCTTAGTTAAGAGACTGTTCAGCTCTTTTTCTTTCTTTTTGTTTTTTGAGACTGTGTCTTGCTCTGTTGTCCAGGCTGGAATGCAATGGCATGATCTCACAATATAGACGAATCCTAAAAACATAATACTAAGAAAAGGAAACTACTCACAAAATAATATATACTGTGTTATTTCATTTTTGTAAGGTTCAGAAACAGGAAAAAAATGTATACTTAGGTACTAAAACTACAAAGAAAAGTAAGGAATTGATCATCGTAAAAGAGAGGTTAGAGGCTACCTCTGAGACAGAAGGAGCCCTATGAGGAGGGATTTGAGATTGCAAGGAGGCAACTGGGTTGGAATTCTACAAATTTTCTATTCCTTGGTATGGGTGGTAATTACACTGTTGTGGGCTTTGTGATAACTCGTTAGAGTATGCATTTATTGTTTATGCATTTTTCCACGTGGCATGCATCAGCACATTGGGCTAGTTTTTGTATTCTTAGTAAAGATGGGGTTTCACCATATTCCCCAGGCTGGCTCGAACTCCTGTCCTCAAATGATCCCCCTGTCTTGGCCTCCCAAAGTGCTGGGATTATAGGTGTGAGCCACCATGCTTGTCCTCAACCCTTTTTCTTATGATTATAGTTCTTATATATTCTAGATACAAGACCTTTCTTGGCTATACATGTTGTAAATTTCTTTCTTTCTTTTCTTTTCTTTTTTTTTTTTGAGATGGAGTTTTGCTCTTGTCGCCCAGGCTTGAGTGCAATGGTGCAATCTCGGCTCACTGCAACCTCCACCTCCCGGGTTAAAGCAATTCTCCTGCCTTAGCCTCCTGAGTAGCTGGGATTACAGGTACCTGCCACCACACCTGGCTAATTTCTGTATTTTTTAGTAGAGTCAGGGTTCCACTACGTTGGCCAGGCTGGTGTCATACTCCTGGCCTCAGGTGATCCATCCGCCTCAGCCTCCCAAAGTGCTGGGATTATAGGATTGAGCCACTGTGTTCTGTCCATGTTGTAAATTTCTTACTCATCTCTGAGGCCTGCCTTTTAACTCTTTTAATGGTGTAATTTGATGAAACCAAGTATTATTTTTATTTTTATATTTTTTGAGACAGAGTCCTGCTCAGATGCCCAGGCTGGAGTGCAATGGTGTGATCTTGGCTCACTGAAACTTTGGCTTCCCAGGTTCAGGCAATTCTCTTGCCTCAGCCTCCTGAGTAGCTGGGATTATAGGCACTTATCATGCCTGGCTAATTTTTTTATTTTTTTGCAGAGATGGGGTTTCACCATGTTGGCCAGGCTGGTCTTGAACTCCTGACCTCAGGTGATCTACTTGCCTTGGTAATCCCCCAAAGTGCTGGGATTACAGTCATGAGCCGCCATGCCTGGCTGTCTTAATATTAATGTAGTCAAATTTATCTATTTTTCTACAATGGGTAGTGCTTTTGGATTAGTTTAAAAAGTCTGTCCCCTTACCCTTGAGGTCAATATACTGTTATATTATCCTTAAAAACAATAAAAACATTATTCTTTTTTTTTACTTCTCACCTTAAGGTCTGCTTCTAGAAATTTTTAAAATTTATGGCTCAGCTGGGCATCATGACTTATGCCTCCAATCTAGCACTTTGGGAGGCCAAGGTAGAAGTTTGAGACCAGCCTGGACAACACAGCAAGATCCTTTCTCTAAAAAAAATTAAAAATGTCTTGGGCTTGGTGGAACATGCTTATAGTCCTAGCTACTCAGGAGGCTGAGACAGGAGGGTTGCTTAAGCCCAGGAGTTTGATGCTTCAGAAAGTTATGATAGCAGCACTGCACTTCAGTCTGGGTAACAGAGGAAGACCCTGCCTCTTAAAAATAAAGTGTCTGTTAGTCACCTGAAATTGACTTTTGTGTATTAATATGAAGAGACCAATTTAATTTCTTTTCCAAGTAGAACACTATTTGTTCCAACACTATTTGATTATTGAAAATTGTTCTTTAGGCATTGCTTTGCATTGTCCGGTTAGTCTCAAACTCCTAGGCCCAAGTGATCCTTTTGCCTCAGCCTCCCAAATAGCTGGGGTTACAGGTGTGCACTACCACACCCAGGTCCCTGGGTTCTCTATTCTGTCCTACTGGTAGATTTGCCTATTATTGATCTCCTTCCACACTGCCTTAATTACTATGAAAGTTGACAGTATCAAAATGGAATCACTTATATGAAAAAACCCCAAAACACCCTGACAAATACAGCCAGGAAAGCTGAGAAGAGAGGGTTCTCACACTTGTATGCCTGATAACAAAATTATCACAAAAGACTGCAAAATCACAATATTAACAATGGTCATTGTAACCTTACACAAAATGCACTTCTGTGAGGATATCTGCCTAGCAACTGTCTGTCTAACCTCAGGCTGGAGTACCCTTGTTATTATAGATTCTTGTAGCCAAGGATGATAATTTCAAAACAATTATGTAATGCCCCTAATTTTTCCTGTAAAAACCTTTGTCTTCCTTTACCTCCTTGAATACACACATAATTTACTGTGGCATGTGTATTCCCGTTGCAATGCTCTATTCCCAAATAAACATATTTTTTTTTAGAGAGCCTCTCTCTGTTATTTAGATTGACAGAAATGGTGCCAGAAACAAGACCTGAAAAAAGATCACTATCACAAGGAATTGGCGATCCTTGAATCTGGAGAAGTACTCATTTAAGCCATTTCACTTCTCTGCTTCTATGGCTCGCTTTTTCTGCCCTGATGAGTCTTCTCTAAGACCATGCCTCCTTCTTTATGGTAGAAGCTCTTGACTTTATTTGGGGTCTGATTTGAATAAGGAGGCTGTAAATAAAGGACTTTACATCCCACCTGGGATTAAACAAAGACTTCTTGTCTTTTCTGGTAAGTCTTTTCTGATTTCTATAGAATTTCCATTCTGCCTGTGAGGCATGTCTTTTCTGATGAATTTGCTTTTGGTCTGTGTGCCTACTTTAATATTTGTCTGATCCGCATGCATGGGTTAAAATTTATAAACACTCTTGGTCTTGTTTTGGTTATATACGACTGACTTAGCTCTTTTCCCTTGCTTCTTTCTGAAAACCTTCTGAGAGAAAAAAATAAACATTCTAAATGATGAACACAGGATGGCTAATTAAAAGCCACTAGGGAGGTTGCTACCATCAAATACACTGGTCCAAACTTCTGACATTCCAAGAAGATTGATAAGATGTTCTTTGCTCTTAAGAGATTGATAAGTAATGTAATAGAGTTTTCTTAATTTTTCATTATTATTATTATTATTATTATTGTTTAGAAACATAACCTCACTCCGGCTCCCTGGCTGGAGTTCAGTGATGCAATCATAGATCATTGCAGCTTTGAACCCCTGGGCTCAAGTAGCTAGGACTATGTGTGCACACCACCATGCCCAGCTACTTTTTTTGTTTTGTAGAGAAGGTGTCTCTTCATGTTGCTCAGGCTGTCTCAAATTCCTGGCCTCAAGAGATCCTCCTGCCTTATCCTCCCAAAGTGTTGAGATTACAGGTGAGAGCCACTGTACTCTGCCTGGGATTTTCTTTTTTTTTTTTTTTTGAGACAGTGTTTCGCTCTTGTTCAGGCTGGAGTGCGATGCGCAATCTCGGCCCACTGCAACCTCTGGCTCCCAGGGTCAAGCAATTCTTCTGCCTCAGCCTCTGTAGTAGCTGGGATCACAGGCATGTGCCACAATGCCTGGCTAATTTTTGTATTTTTAGTAGAGACAGGGTTTCACCATGTTGGTCAGGCTGGTCTTGAACTCCTGACCTCAAGTAATACACCTGCTTCGGTCTCCCAAAGTGCTGGGATTACAAGCGTGAGCCACTGCGTCCGGCTTGGGATTTTCAAACATTAAGGCATGCCAAGTTTTCTGGGACTCCAACCAGCTACATTTGATGGCCAATTCTCATGCACATTTAAAAAACTGATGGGTTCATGAAACTGCTAATCAAGATCAAACAAAACAAAAATCAATTACACAAATTTGAAAAACTGATAAAGGTAATTTTATGTCATTTTTTATTGTTTGTTTGTTTATTTATTTATTTTTGAGACGGAGTCTCACTTTGACACCAGGCCAGAGTACAGTGGCACAATCTCAGCTCACTGTAACCTCTGCCTCCTGGTTCAATTGATTCTTTCGCCTCAGCCTCCCAAGTAGTTGGGACTACAAGCATGCACCACCACGCCCAGCTAATTTTTTGTATTTTTTGGTAGAGACAGGGTTTCGCTATGTTGCCCAGACTGGTATCAGACTCTTGGGCTTAAGTGATCTGTCTGCCTTGGCCTCCCAAAGTGCTGGGATTATAGGCGTGAGCCACTGTGCTCGCAATTTTTAAATTATTTATTTATTTTTCCATTTCCCTTTCTTGGCATTTATGACACTTATTTAAAACATTTTTTTAAAATTTAAATGTTTTGTTTTCCAGATTTAAGAAAATTTTCTTTCTTTTTTTTTTTTTTTTGAGATGGAGAGATGGAGCCTCACTGTCACCCTGATTCAAGTGCAGTGGTGTGATCTCCCCGCTCGCTGCAACTTCTGCTTTCTGGGGTCAAGCATTTCTCTTGCTTCAGCCTCTCAAGTAGCTGGGATTACAGGCATGCACCACCACTGGCTAATTTTTGTATTTTTTTTTTAATTTTCCATAGATTTTATTATACATTATGTTATGAGACAAATGCAGATCATTAATTTATCAAATTTGTGATAAAATTTGATAACTTTTCAACAAAAATATATGACCCTCACCACACAAACAGATAACTCTAAATCTACTCTGAAAATCTAATCAATTGAGAAGTATTACCTATTTGGAGGCTATGTATTATATCAGAGATAAAGCTCCTGTTCTCACAGAACATATGGAGTCATTGGCAGCTAGCCAACAATGAAGTGACTATTCTAATATTTGAGAAAATCCTGAGAAAACTAATGAATTGTCCTGGACATTCTTTATTCTTGCCTTTACAAAAGATTTATAGATCCAAGAAAGATTAGTTTAGAAGAGAGGTTTTTTAGTCCAAAAAAATCTTCAAAGTCCAATACAGTCATGGCTAATCAGAGACTAGAGAACCTTTAGAAAGGTAAGTAGGATTGAAAACCCTTGGAAACTGAGCAGTCTTATTGTGAACTAGCATGTTTTAATCAAAGGTATGGAATTAATCAAGCATCAATTAAGAATTACTGGAATGCACCCTCATGCCAAATGACCACTAACATGCTATTTGCTACTATAATGACTCCTTGATTTGAGACAGATGGCATAAAAAATATTGCTAGCTATACAGTGAATTCTACTCTTCTGCTTCTGCTCTTCAAATAAAAATCTTATTTTTTCACATAAGAAACTCACTGAATTGAATGTTAATTAAAGAAAAGATAGGGTAAGTCCAACTGGGGGAAAGACAATACCTCTAATTACATAGGAAATCCATGAAATAATTAATCATCATAAGAGAAGAATCATTTTTCCAGTAGCCCCACTGCCATGAATGATATTTTCATGAGCCTGAGCCACCTTCTCCAGTGGATACTGAGAACCTATTACAGGTTTCAACCAACCAATTTCCATTCCAGCTTGAAGGGCTGCTGCATATTGCTGAAATTCCTCCTTGGTTGTGGCAAAGAGAGTAACTCCAATTATACTCGACTCCTTTATCATGATGTCCCGTGGGTTTATTTCAATAGTACCTCTGTTGCCAACAACTATCACTCGTCCTCCTTGCGACAGAAGACTCAAATCTTTACTAAGATTTACATTAGCTAACATTTCAATAATTACATCAATTCCTTTCTCACCAATATATGTCTTAATTTTATCAATATAATTAACTTCTTTGTGATTGAACACTTCATGGGCTCCATTTTGCAGAACAACCTTTTGTCCTTCCTCAGTGCCAGCAGTGCCCAAAACCTTTAAGCCGTAAGCTCTAGCAATTTGGCATGCTGCTAATCCAACTCCTCCACTCGCCCCGTGAACTAGAACACTTTCTCCAGCTTTCACACGGGCACTGTGGATCAGAGCTCGATAAGCAGTAAAATATGGGATACCGACGGCGGCTCCTTGTTTAAAGTCCAGTTTTTCAGGCAGTTTGTAAACAGTATGGTCTGCTGCAAGAGCATACTCTGCATAGCCCCCAGAGATCGTGCTGCTAGTGAAAACTCTGTCACCTTTCTTGAAAGCAGATGCATTATCTCCAACTGCTTCTATCACCCCAGCCACATCTGAGCCAGGAGTATAGGGTAAGAGTGGTTTTCTACTATAAGTACCAGAGCGAATGTATGTTTCCACAGGATTGACACCACATGCATGGACCTTGATTAGAACCTGATTGTCTTTAGGAATCGGTACTGCAACATCCAACTGCAGTTTCAGGACTTCTGGTCCACCAAATTCAAAAGCTCTAACTGCTCTCATCAACTTCTGTCTGGTTGCCATGGTGATCAGAATCTAGAGTGGGAATTAAAATCTGCGAGGGCTTCTTCAGATTCCACAGGAGGTCTTCAATTTTTGTATTTTTAGTAGAGACGGGGGTTTCACCACGTAGGCCAAGCTGGTCTCAAACTCCTGACTTCAAGTGATCTGCCTGCCTCAGCCTGGGATTACAGGTGTGAGCCACTGCGCCTAGCCAAAAATTTTCTCTCTTGAACTATCTATAGTTTACAACAATCTGCTAAAGATAAGCCGTAATACATCCATTAGATTATAGCCCTGTGCATTATATTCAAGTTCTTGTTATCTACCTGAAGACTACATCCTGAATTGTCCTAGAGTCTTCAAACATAACCTTCTACTATAGAATTACTAAAAATGGAAATTGCTTTGTTCCTAAAGCCCTAAAAGCTAAAACTAGATAAATTTTAAGGAACAAGCTTATGCCTGATGTATAGGCCACACAAAAAGTTTGCCAAACTGCCCAATGTCATGACTAGAAACATCCAAATCGCAAAGCAGGACAAGAAGTTCTGTTTTCACATTGTAGACAGCTTTTCCCAAGACACTGGAACGAGACTCCATATCATGAGACTCTTTCCCCCTTAATGCTCCTTTTCACTTGGCAGGATAATGGTGTAATGGAAATTTCACAGTCAGTAGTTTTTGCTAGACACTCGACAGAACCTGACGTAAGAGATTCTTTAGTATCCATTTGTTAAATAAGGAAATGTCAGGGCGGTGGGGTAGGGTGCAGCGGCTCACGTAATCCCAGCACTTTGGGAGGCCGAGGCAGGTGGATCACCTGAGGTCAGGAGTTCGAGACCAGCTTGGCCAACATGGTAAAACCCGTCTCTACTAAAAATACAAAAATTAGCTGGCCTGGTGGCTCACGTCTGTAATCCCAGCTACTTGGGAGGCTGAGGCAAGAGAATCACTTGAACCTGGGAGGTGGAGTTTGCAGTGAACAGAGATGGTGTCCGTGTACTCCAACCAGGGCTGCAGAGCAAGACTCCATCTCAAAAAAAAAAAAAAAATTAGGAAATGTCTGTGCTATTGCTAATACTACACGGTGTACCTAGATACATTCATCTGGAGAAGTCAAAACCTATGACAAAATAAAAAATCAGACCACATGTTACAACAGGTCTCACCTAATTCTCTATGGTCATTTCATTTATTCAGTTGGTTAAGCCTAGGTTCATGGCTCAAAACTATATAGGCAAACTGAGATTATCATTTTATTTTATAGTTTTCGTTTTTAAACTTTGTACTGTAATTTGTTAAATTTTTACAGAAGTATCGGTCTTAACAAAATAATGCTGGGTCAGCACTTTGAGATAATAGCAAAAGACTATAGATCTTAACAATAAACTCCAGATAGACTTAGTCTGAGAGCCATTTTCTTCAAACTTCCTTCATTGCTCAAATGTGGCTAAAAGGTTTTTGACACTGACTCCTTGTCACCAATCACTCCCCACAACATGGGATGAAACCAGGAAGCGGGGCAGGTTTATCCTGGCGTCCAGGGACATCAGAATGTCTACAAAATGACTGATCAGTGATGCATTCTGAGAAAGGCTTTGTTCAAAAAAGGGAAATGTGAAAATTATCAGAATCAAAATGAAGTCACTTGTGTTAAGAAACAAAACTCCCTGACAGAACTGGGGAAGGCTAAGAAGGGAAGGCTCTCACATTTGTGTGCCTCATAACTAAACTATTGCAAAAGACTTTGCAAAAACCACAACCTTACACAAAGACCATTGCAACCTTACCCAACAAGTACCTGTGTGAGAACATCTGCCCAGCAACTGCCTGTTCAACCTAGAACTCCTTGTTATTGTTGATCCTTGTAGCAAAGCACAATAATTTCAGAGCACGTATTTAATCCTCATGTTTTCTTTAAAAACCTGTGTCTTCCTTTACCTCCCTGAATACACACAGAGTTTACTGTGACATGTGCATTCCAATTTCAATGCCCTACTCTCAAATGAGTGTCTTTTTCTTTCAGCGGTCCTATTATTTAGATTGACAGCTTTAAAATAAAGTTTGTTTTGTTTTGTTTTTGAGGAAGGGTCTTGCTCTGTTGCCTAGGCAGCCTCCACCTCCTGGGTTAAAAGTGATCCTTCTGCCCCAGACTCCTAAGTAGCTGGGACTATAGGTGCACGCCACAACTGGCTTTCTTTTTTTTTGTAGAGACGGGGTTTTGCCATGGTCTTGAAGTTTGCTGAAGCAATCTACTTGTCTCAGCCTCCCAAAGTGCTGAGATTATAGGCATGGGCCACTGTGCTCAGTCTATAATAAAGCTTGTTAACCTGGTAGCACAAGTTTTCCTACTCCCACTCCTCTTCTCTTTTCTTTCCTTCCTCCTCTTCTTCGTGAATGCTTGTCTTTGCTCTTCCATACAATTTTAAATTAGCTTGTCAAGTTTCTCACACATATGCAGGGAACTGCACTGGCTCTGTGGATAGGTTTGGAGAGACTTGGCATTTTTCAATATTGATTGACTCTTCCAATCTATGAACATGTTATATCTCTATTTAGGTCTTCTTCAGTGTGTCTTTCAATGTTTTCTTCAGACAGGGTTTGCATTTTTTTGATTGATTTATTCCGAGGTACTTGATATTTGTTTGGAACTGTTGTAAATGGTATCTTTAAAAAAAAATTCTGTTTTTTTACTGACATATATAAATAAGTATTGATTATTTTAAAACATGATTTTTGTATCTATTAACCTTGTTAAACTCTTTTATTGTTAACAGTTTACCTGTAGATTGTTTTGGATGTGCCACATACGTAATTTTTTTTTTTTTTGAGGCAAAGTTCCATTCTTGTTGCCCCGGCTGGAGTGCAGTGGCACGACATCAGCTCACTGCAACCTCTGCCTTCAGGGTTTAAGCAATTCTCCTGTTTTAGCCTCCCTAGAAGATGGAATTACAGGTGCCAGCCACTTCGCCCGGCTAAGTGCGTATTTGTAGTAGAGGCGAGGTGTCACTATTTTGGCCAGGCTGGTCTTGAACTGCCGACCTCAGGTGATCCGCCTTGGCCTCACAAAGTGTTGGTATTACAGGCATAAGCCAATGGCGCCCGGGCCCTACATACATAATAATATCATCTATGAAAAAATAATTTTGTTTCCTACTATTTAATCTTCAATCCTTTTATTTTTCTTGCCTCACTCCACTGACTAAGCACCTTCGGCTGCAATAATTGGTATTCTCATCCGTAGCACACTTAATCACCACTAAGCTTTCCCAGCCTCAGGTCAATTGTATTGGGAGGTTGGTTTCTCCCTGGAGGTAGTCCTTCTTCAACAGCCTGCAGCGAGTTAAGGCAGAGGGTACGCCTCTGGCGGGGTCATCTTCCAATACAGAACAGCCCCGCTCCTCTCTAGTTGCCGCGCAACAGCGTCGTTCTGATCCAGGATATGTGCGGAGCGGCTGAAAGCACGTGCTGCCGCTTCCTCATTCTGATACTACATCTCCCACAATGCCTCGCGCCGCGGGCGGCTGGACCCCGAGTGTGGGAAGGGCCGGCCGGGAGGCGGAGCGGAAGCCGAGTGCTAGGGTCTAGCGGATTTAAAATCTCCACAAGCTGGGAACCAACCTCTTCTCGACTCCTACCCCCCCGGTCTTTCTCCATTCCGACCTGGAGCTGCTTCGCCAGTGCGGGACGCAGCTGACGCCCGCTAATCAGCTCTCGCTGCGTCGCCTCGGCTCAGAAGCTCCGTGGCGGCGGCGACCGTGACGGGAAGCCCAAGCCAAGGTAATGAGGAGGGGGCGAGTCCGCCGGCCGGGCCCGCGCCTCTCTCGGAGCCCCTCAGCCCCGGCGGCTGCTCCTCCACCGCCGCGCCCCCGGCTCCGGTCCCCGCCACGCCGGGGCTGCAGCTGCGGAAACCCGGCTCGGGAACGGGCCGGCAGCCTTCGGCCGCGGCCGGGAAGGCTCTTTGTCCCTTCCTTTGGGCCGCGTCTCTGTCCCTCGGCGTCTGACAGCTGCGGCCCCTCGGCCCGGGCGGAGAACGGAGCGTGGCGGGGGCTGCGCGAGCCGAGAGGGGCGGGCTCGGTCCGGGGCTGTGGGTTGGAGAGCCCGGGCGGCACAGCATTCACTTCTTTTTCTGTTTTGACAGCCAAGTTCTGTTCTACTTTGGGAGAGAGAGAAAGTCAGATGCCCCTTTTAAACTCCGTTTTCAAAACTCATCTCCTGGGTGACGGTAAGGATGAACTTAAACTGCTGTGTTGTTGACTGTGGGGGTAATGAGAATGGCTCAGTCAGTCAGGGTTCGAATCCTGCCTGGGTTTGTCTCACTGCCTGCCTTGGTAATCTTGGTTACTTAAGGCTCTCAGCCTGAGTTTTCTCATCCATCAAAACACACCGCTTTAAGTTGTTAGAATAAAAAAATAACAGACCTATAACGTCATTACATTAGTTCTTCATTTGATGAAAAGATCCTTTGAATGTGATACTTAGCTGTGAGTGAAGTGACCGAAGTGGCCTTTGGACTTGAGTTTTGTGCTTTTCTTTGTTAATCATTGGCACCTTTGGTTATGTGTTCTTCACTTTATACTTTGTTATCCTAAACCTAAGCAAAGGATTCGTTAAAATATGTCATCTTCCTAATTTCTGCTGTTTTAAGATGGCTGAGAATGTTCTTAGGAAATTGATGACTCTGCTTTTCTGTGGATCAGCTTTAGAAATGCAAGAATTTATTCACCTCCGCTCTCCCTCAGGTGTGTGTGTGTGTGTGTGTGTGTGTGTGTGTGTCCGTGTGTGTCCGTCCGTCCTTTGGGGATCCTTAGAGGCGCTTAAGTGTTTGTTTCATCAGAGTAGGCATCCAGGTGTTCTGCAGTCCTGTCTCTGGACTTCACCATATTTACCCTGTGTCAACTTTTTCCTACTTCTGTCTGCACCTTCTCACTGATTAATAATTTCTCCAGTTTGGGATTTGTGTTTACAAGTTGTAGTTTTTGTTCACAAGACACCATGAATGAATGCATTAAATTTCATCAGGAATGACTTGATACATTTCATGAGTCCCTTTTCACTTTCCGTTGTTCTTGCACTATTTTCTCCTGAATTTTACTGATGTTGGTTATGAGTT